ACCTGAGAATGTCTCAGAGGGTCTACTTCATCTTCATCTCTTTCATGAATATAGAGCTCTGGATAACAGTTCCTTTAGCCTTTCAAAAATATTCTACCTAATTCTGACTAATAGGATTTCTAATAAATAAATGGGAATTTGTCAGTTCACTCAGACAAACCCCTATTCAATTATTGCAACCTGGGTCAGATCCGATTTCTTTTCTTGTGGCAGGACTGGTGATTGAGCTCAGGATTTAGAACTTGTTGGGAAAGTGCTCTACCACTTGAGCTCTGCTCCCAGACCTTTTGGCTTCAGTTTGTTTTTAGATAGTCTTATGCTTTTACTTGAGGTGGCTTCTGCCTGGGATCCTGCCAGTCTTATGATAACAGCTGGGTTAGAGGATGTGGTAAGTTGGGTTATTCTTAGATATATGTCTTCTCTCATTGTTTTACACAAGTGGATTTCCTATTGCATTGACTTGGGACCCACCATGGGCTTTGTCTCCAGTTCCCAGCCCAGGCCTAAGAGGCCTCCTGGTTCTCCTACCCTCCTACCCTTGGTGCCCAAGCCATCCTCTGGTCCCAGGGAGAATGGGCACAGGAGGTAAGCCCAGCCCAGGTAAGTCCACCTTAGCCTCTGAGTGGTGTCAATGCTTCTTGCTGTATCTGTAGCATTACTGAGCTGTCGTTGATGTTTTCTGAATAGTACAGGGAGGGGAAGCTGATATTTCTAAATATGTAATATAGATATGGAACTGGGAAATTAAGAAATTTAGAAAGACTTGGGAAAATGGTGCTCTGGTGATGTGGTAGAGAAATTGCTTGGTAAGAGTATTTCTTATGGCAATCTTTGAGGGAGAAATGACCTCATGGATTAATGGAGCTGGGCCTGATGGCTTCTGGGAAGAATGCTGTTGACATGACCTTCTTGGAACTGCAACTGGTAAAGTAGTACAGTGAAAGATGACTTTCAAAAAGCAACTGGCCCATTTACCACAGAGTTTAGAAAATTAAGCTTTTTTTTGGTGCTTGGGCACTGCCCCTGAGCTTTTTTGCTCATGGCTAGTGCTCTACCACAAGCCACAGCTCCACTTCCTGTTTTTGTTGGTTAATTGGAGATAAAAGTCTCACAGACTTTGCTGCCTGGGCTGGCTTTGAAACAAGATCCTCAGATCTTAGCCTCTTGAGTAGCTAGGATTACAAGTGTGAGCTTCTGGTGCCCAGTGCCCAGCTTACATGTATTTCTTATCTACAGTCTCTCTAGCCAGTTTTTTTGAAAAAAGCCCCAAACAAAAAACTCTCACATTAAGATGTGGCCTGTAATGCAAAGACAAAATCTAGGGAGTGCCATGAAAATATCCTCAAAGTAGAGAGGAGATCAGGAAGTGTGATTGATTGTACTGGCCTGTATCTTAAGGACTAGAAAGGAATATGATGTAATGTAATAATCTTTCATGTCCAGCCCTGGTGACTCGCATCTGTAATCCTAGCTACTCAAGAGATGGAGATCTGAGGATTGTGGTTCAAAGCCAATCCAGATAGAGAAGTCCCTAAGACTCTTATCTTCAATTAAATAGAAAAAAAGCCCTCAAGTGGTAGAGTACCTGCCTTGAGCTAGTACAAGCCCCAATGCTAGGAGAAAATAAAGTGTTTTTTCAGCAACAATAGGCTATATAGAAACATCCAGGGAGTGGCCCACAGCAGATGGTTATGGGACACCAGTCCCCAGTTGCTGAGAGAAAAAGAATTACTATGTAGCTTTTGGCATATAGAGTGATCTAGAATCAGATATATAGGAGACCCCCCCCCACACACACACACACTGCAGGATGTTTGGGAGAAAGCTACAAAAAAACATATTGCCATTGTGGATTGAAATGAGACCAAGATGGTTTGAAACATAAAAATCCTTAACCTCTCAGCTTCTTACAAGTAGGAAGAGATTGAAAGTTTCTCAAGTCAGGCACATGCTCATGCCTGTAATCTTAGTTACTTAAGAGGCTGAGATCTGAGGATCATAGTTTGAAGTCAGCACAGGCAGGAAAGTTTGTAAGATCAGATCTTATCTTCAATTTGTCTCTCTCTGTCTCTCTCTCTCTCACACACACACAACTGTGAGGAGCTGAAGAATGAGGCTGCATTCTAGGCCTAGTATAGATCACAGCAATGTTGTTCTGCAAAATGCCTATGAACTGTCCTTCAGGTGGGAGTGTGCCTTCTTACCCTAGCTTTGGCTCCTCAGTGCATGCTGAGTGTTTCTATGTATGGGATATGTATGCAGAAAGCTTGTCATTTTAGTTCATAAAGAACCATATCCAGAATAGTGATGGACCACAGATCCTGGACTTCATGCCTGAAATTGATTGGGCCAGCTGTTGAAGGTTGGCATGTGGAATGGGAAATGTTGACTCTGTGAGGGCAGGTGGTGGTGGACTATATTATGATTGGAGAAATATTCATTTGTGTGTGTGTGTGTGTGTGTGTGTATCTATGTGCGTAAGCACACCTGTTGGTCCTATGACTTGAACCCAGAGCCTGAGTTTTTGTCCTCAAGGCTAGTGCTCTACCACCACTCAAGCCACAGCTCTACTTATATTGCGTTGCTTAATTGGAGGTAAGAGTCTCACAGACTTTCCTGCCCAGATTGTTTTTGAAACTTGATCCTCAGATCTCAGCCTCCTGAATACAGGCTCACACCTGAAATCTATTCTCTTGTTTCTGTAGGTGGAGTATGCTTGCCTACCCTACTGACCACAGCTTGGACTGTATTACTTGCTTGGGCCAAAGTGAGTGGAATATGAAGGCACACAAGTTCTGAGCCGAGATCTAAAGAAGGCCTGTTTTGTCTGCTTGCCTTCCATATGTCTTCCACCACTAATCACCTGGAAGTTGGGAGGAGACAACAGTTATGTGGGGGCAGAGCCAAGTTGCTCCAAGCCGAACCCTCTGATTAACTCCTAGATATGTAAGCCAGCCCCACCCCTCAGGACTGTGTGGCCAACCCACATTGGTCAGCTATCCCTCTGAGGAGCCAGATTCACAAGCTGAACCTGGTTGTTGTCATCTGGGATTGAGGTTTCGTGGATATTATTATTCAGAGCAGCTGGGGTCTGTGAGTGGACACCAAAGAGTTGGCTCTGCTGTACCACCAGGCCCAGCCTCTTCATGCTGTGGGTTATCCACACCTAGGCAGTAGCAAAACAGAAGGTGTGAGACCAGGAGATGGGCTTTAAAAGAAGGGAGGGAAGAATGGAGCCAAGCAAGCTCCGTTCCTCCTTAGGACTTCCCACCTGCCAAGTAACTCCTCCAACGTGGAGGATGGAAGATAGGGCAGGACGGAAGGAGGAGCAAGGCCAGGGGTGGCCTTTCCCTGACACACATTGAAAACTCAGATTCTCTGCAGAAGAGAAATATGCTAAATTCTGTTTCACTTGGGGGCTTTTTATACTTATTTAAATGGAAAACCCTTCTTCAATCCCCTTGGTTACATGCCACAGAGATAATAGTATCCTTCTTTTCAGGGTATTGGAGCTTGAATTTATGGCCTAGGTGATTGCTGTTCTTAGTTCTTTTGCTCAAGGCTGGTACCTCTACCACTTGAGTTACAGCTCCATTTCCAGCTTTTTGTTGGTTAATTGGAGATAAAAGTCTCAGACTTTCTTGCTTGGCTGGTTTCAGTGATCCTCAGACTTCAGCCTCCTGAGTAACTAGTATTACAGGCATGAACCACCAGTGCCTGGCTCCACAGATTTAGTTTTAAGCTGAATGCCTGCTAAACTGAGGCTCTGCTTCCAGACTTGCAATCTGCTTGCGGACTTTCCATAGAAAGAAGGAAGCTAAGGGGCCTAAGCTGGGAGCTCAGAGGTCTGGCGTACCTGGCCTGCAGAAGGTGCCATCTACTCCCTCTAGCTTAGTTCTGGGATCTCTCCCCTTTGTTTCCTGACTCAGTTCCAGAATGTGTATTAATCCCTAGTCCCCTCTGACCTCTGACTGTTGAGTTTACTGCAGTGGTCCAAGCATTGCCAAAGGGTGACTGCTTGCTAAACTGAGAATCTAAATCTACCTACCAGAAGACTTCTTAGTGCTCAGGTCCCTCTTCCTGGATCCTCCCTATGGCTCCACTTAAAGCCAACAGAGCATGTTTACTTGAAAGCAAAATAAACAGTGAAATGGACTCCTTGGGCACATGCAAAGAGGCATTCTGGTGCCAGTGCTCTACACAGGGTCCACTGGATATACGGTCCTTTGCCTCCTCCCCTAAGGAGATGCTCTTGATCTGATTGGCCAGAGTCATGGTCATGGATTGATGAGAGTTATGGGATTGGTCCCACAGACCTTGGAGCAGGAGTGTGTAAGTATCCCTATGATTGGATCCCTGTCTGTATGCACAAATGTGGAAAGGACTCATGATTGGATAAAAGCTGGGGAAACCTGCACTTGGCCACAGCTGTGAAAGGCACATGCATTTATAACCCAGAGCCTGGTGTCTGATGGGTATTTTCTACTGCATTGTTCCTCCTGGTCTTATTAGAGCAGGTCCTGGCTGCCACCTTCTATCCCTAGCTACCTAGCTGGCAAAGCCTTTCACATTCACTTTCTAGGAGGCCTCTACACTCAGGCTCTTCCCTGTGGGTTCCTTTGCCCAAGACTAGTAGATGGGCACTCTGGGATATACTTGCTTGCCCCAATTCTTTCCTTTGCCTAAGCTACAGGACTTACCCACTTAATTCCCATCCTCCAACTCAAATGTGTTTCATTACCAAGGAGTGTGCAGTGTGGCTGACCAGCAGAACAGAGATTCACTGCAAAATGTCAAACCCTGCCTCCCCCTCCCCAGACTGACAAGAAACAAACAGCCAGTAAATGCTTCTGCATTAAACATTTCTTGGCTGAGGCGGGGTAGTCAATTTTGACACTGTGGAGAAAAAAATACAGCCTAATTTCCGTTCAAATGCACCAAATTTACGGCAAGGATTCTCATTAACCACTGTCAAGGGAGAAGCAGATAGACAAGATAAATTATGAAAAAATTACTTTTTTAATGTACAAAAAAGACTTATTTACAAGTTGAGCATGTCATCTCAATTCATAGCATGTAGAAAAAAAGCTAAAAATGTTTTTTTGGCAATATAAATTTGGCTGGACAAGTCACCTACAGTATATTCAGGGAAGATGTTATCTGCACAAAATATATACAGGCAGGGGAATGGCAAGTGCAGTCTTAGGAAGCAAGCTAATACCACCGTGGAGCCACAGCCCATGGCCAAGTCCCAGAGTTGTCATTTGGAGTTGGCCTTGGCTCTGGACCTTAACAAGGAGTCTGATGCACTGGAAGGGGCTAGATGAGCAGGTTTGGATCCTGTCTCCAGACTTTGCTTCAAAGTTCCTCCCTAAAGCCAAGGTCACAGTCAGAATGAAGCTCCATCTGAGCAGTGTGGTTGGTCTGGCAAAGTTGCTACAAATTCATCCTAAGGAACACATCTGATATCTGTATATATGTGATGGAGAAGCCGCATTGCTTCACCCTACTGGACATTCAGAAAAAAAATATTCTTGGAGCCAGTTCCAAACTACATTTCCATTTGGGGCTTGGCCACATTGAACAAGGAAACTGAGTAATAATTCCTCAGACTCTAAGAGTCAACCTCTCCACCCACCCATCCCTACCCTAAACATCATGCACACACATCGTTCTCTGAAAATAATCAGGGAGAAGAGCAGAGGTCAGGGTATCAGCCCTGGCTGCATTTCTGGCTTGGTGTGCACTATTGGGCTGTCACTAGCAGCCCGGCATGGCCTGCAGGAGCCTGGACAGGGCTGTAGATTTCATGGTAAGATGGGCAGACTGTTTTGGAAAAACAGGATTGGAAAAACAGTAAACATGCGACTTCCTCTTCCTACTGGAAAGCCTCTGGGGTGGCCTAAGGCTGGGCCCAGGTGCCATCTCACCTCCAGAGGCCTCAGCCAATCCTTCACCCGGAGCAATGCCAGCAGCCAGAGGTATTTAGAAAGTTTCTTTTCAGGAACAGCTACATTGTCCATGCAGGAACACTGTAAACATGGTCAGGAGAGGCCCAGATAGCTTCTGGGCTTGTCCCAGGTAGTACACTTTTTATTTATTTCCTTTTACTGGGTGCAACTTACATATTTTATTCATTCATAATATATCTGGGCAATTTGCCAGTCCTAAACTATGCTTAAGGGATGGAGATGCCAACTATCCTAAACCTGGCATTAGTATAGTACTTCTGCAGCACCCACGTGGAATGTTATTCCCTATTCTTCATGGCAAGAGACTGTAGGAACCTCAAGACTCAAGTTTTATAGGAGAATCCTGGCAGCTGGCAATTCCATTTCCTTACAGGTGGCAGAACAACAAGCCCATCTTCTTGGCACAGAATATCCATTATGGTTTCAGTTTCCAACCCAAATGTGGCTCCCCTACCCTCTTTCCACATGTAGTTGAAAAGCCCTTGGCCAACATAATCTCTCATTAGCCAAATGACAGAGGCAAAGAAGCCAAAGCTGAGTGGCCCCATAAACACCCAAGGCTGGCAAGCACTGTGTAAATCAGTTTCTCATTCCTTCTTTTCCTTTCCTGTTGAGACTTTTTTTTTTTTTTTTAGTATTCTGAAAAGTAGTCCAAAAGACCAGAAAGGATGCCCACAAAACTTCTCTTAAAACATATGCAGTCTGAACCAGCTATTGGCAAAGATCCTTCAGGCCTACTTAATACTTTATTTTAGGAAAAAGATGAATGGATGAGATCTTATCCTTCCAGGAGGCCACAATCCCCCAGGGTCTGCTCTGCATCAGGGATCGGACCTTAGGTCATCATGTTCAGGAACTTGTTCTCCTCAGCCAGACTGCTGAGCATGGAGCTCATGTCGCCCACGGCCATGTTACTGATGCCTGAGGGGATGGAGGGCAAGGTCAGGGAGTTCCGAGGGGTGGTGAGGCGCGAAGAATTCTGGGAGAGGTTGTGTAGAAGGCTGGGGCTCAGCGCACCGGAGAACAAACTTGAATGATCACCATCATCCATGATGGCATCAAAGTCAATCTGAGGGGCCTCCAGGAGCTGGGAGTCCACGGTGCTGGACACCTGGTTGACCCCTGGTGAGGGTAAGGGCTGTGGCTGGATGTTGTCTGGGCAGGCTTGTGGCTGTGGAGGTTGGGGCTGAGGGGCTGGGCAGCCTCCATGGTTCTCTAGTCCTCCATTTTGTTCATACATGTGAATCTGGCCATAATAGTAGAGTGTATTGTGGTCCTGTGCCCCACCTCTGTCCTGAGGGGGTGGCTGAGGGGGTAGTGATCCCATGGTGCCCACTGCACCCTTGGGTACAGCCTCTGCTGTCTCCTGGTTGGCAGATGTGGTGACCATGGCATGCCCACTGGCCCTGGCATAGGCCATTTGTTGCTGCCCAGCACGTACTCCACGGTGGCGGCCTGCAGGGCTAGGCTCAAGGGGTGGCCGGGGTTGTACTAAACCGAAGCTAGATGGAGCTGCTCCCATCATGCCTTGCTGTGGCTCCATGAAGCCAGGCTGGTGGGAAGGCAGAAGGCCCTGGCGGTAGCCTTCCTGACTCGGAGTAGCTGCCAAGTGATGGCTTTGCTGTGGATAGCTCTGGGCTGGGTGAGGTGGTGGCACCCCAGCCAGGGCAGAATTTGGAACTCCCAGTTCCTGGTGGTGACTGCCCATCATGGTTGGGTTGGAGGCAACTTCCATTTGCTGAGGGAGCCCCAAGTGGGCTGGCTTGGCCCCCATGTTGCTGCAGGATGGGGGAAACTGGTTCAGGGTCCCACTGGGGCTGAGCTGGGGGTGGGCTTGGCTGTAGTTGGTCTGAGGGCTCACAGCTGAGCTCAGGCTGAGGCCTTGGCCACCTGTGGCTGGCTGGCGCAGCTGCTGCTGCATGTAATTCACTCTGGGGGCTGAAGAAGCTCCATTGGGGAGCTGAAGGTGTGGCTGGGTGCTGTCCAGGCTCCCAGGACTCAGCTGCAGACCTTGTGGACTGTAGCTTGGGTACTGGCCAAAGGCAGCCTTTTGCTGTACCACAGCCAGGTTGCCCTGAGGAAAGGGCGGAGGCTTTACCTGGTTGGGCATGGCATCCATCGTACCTGAGCTCACCTCATTCCACTGCACGGGCATGTTGTTTTTATTCAGGCTAGAGGATGCCCCATAGCCCAGCTGGCAGCCTTCCATGCTAGGGACAGAGGGACCCACATTGGAGTCGGCAGCTGCTAGCCTGCGGTGGCCGTGCAGCCCTGGGCTGGGCAGCTTGGGGTTCTCCGGGAAGCTCTGGGTGGGGTACACCTGCCGTGTGCTCTCATCCACAGTGCCACTGGTGTGTGCCTTGATATACTGTACCACATCATCAGGCAACACCAGATCATCCTCTGCCAGCCCCAGGCCAGACTCAGGCCCTGTGCTGTCCACTCCTGCAGCCATGGCCTCCATTACCACATTCTCACTGATGCTGGGTGGCCTGGGAGAGTAGGAGCTGTGGATCAGGCTGCTGTTGGTGCTTGGGTGACCCTGTAGGCGGAGCCCCCTCCTCTCGGTGCTGCAGGGGGGCAGTGGACCTGGGTTCACATTGTGGGTGCTGTGAAATCGCTGCACCCGCGGCAGGGTCAGGGCCTCGGAGCGTCGCACTGGGTCACTGGCACGCCGGGCACTGCCTCCTGGCGCTTCATGAGGGAATGCAGGCGCAGCCCCAATGTGGCCATGGCCATAGGCAGGCCCATCACTGCCACGCCGCGGGCCCAGTGAGTGCGGGTAGATGCCGGGCAGCGTGCGATCGGGTACATCCAGCATGGCCAGCCTGGTCCGCAGACTCATGCGCTCCAGGCCTGGCAGTGGCGTGGGCGGTGGTCCCCCGGTGGCCGCTGCGTACTTGGCGCGCAGGCTGTACTGCTGGGCTGGTGTGAGGTTGAGCATTCCCGAGCTGCCTCCGCTGCACTGGCTGGCCTCACTCGAGCGTCGTGAGGCATCCGTGGAGATGGGGTCGTAGGAATCAGCTGAGCTGGCGTTGTGTGGACGGCTGGCGCCCAGGGGTGAGGCCTCACTGGATCGGCGACTGGAGAAGTATGGGGAGATGCCTGAGGAGCGGCGGCTCACTGTGTAGGCTGAGCTGACAGTGCTGGTGGAGCTGTCCCGACGCTCTTGCAGCTGGCTGAGCATGGTCACCTCGCTGGCAGACAGCTGGGACAGTCGAGGATTGGGCAGCAGCCCTGCTGGCCCTCCATCCACGGTGCCACTGAAGTTTTCCAGGACAGAACCTAGGGGGCAGAACACAAAGGTTAGTATCCAAGACGAGGGTCCTATTCTGTGCTTTTTGACCAAGCAAAGGCTGTTGGGGTTGAGTCTCATCAGTTCTGAGTGCAAGAAGGGAAGGAAAGGATAGAAAGTGAAAAAAAGGCACCCATTACCAAGGGTGGGTAAGTGGAAGTCAGGAGGCTGACGACTACTCTTCGCTTCTTCACTGACTGGTTGATCTTAGCTTCATCACTACAGGTTTGGCCCTGAGTTCTCATTACTTGGACCCTCAGTTTCTCTAGCTAGCAGTAGGACTGGGTTATTAATGGGAGGGGGTGAGTGGCCCAGGAGGGCTCAGACCTTATCTCCTGCATCTCTCAGTCTGGGGCTACTAGCTGGGTCCCCTGAGATGGAGTTTAATAAGCACACTGGGATTCACAGCTGTGGAAGAAAATTAGGCCACAGAACAGGCAAAGCAGCAGTGAGCCCCAGCTGATCTCAGAGATCTCAGGCCTGCCCCCAGTTGAGTTCCTCACATTTCTCTGGTGGTCAGTCACTGGATGTGGCCACCTGAGAATAACCTTGGCTGAATCAGCTGCCTTCAACCAAGGAGACACCATAGTGGGGCTGAGTTCAAGGCTACCTGACCAGTAGTCCTTCAAATGGGGAGGGCAACATGTTCTCTTCAAGATGGAGCATCAATGTCTACCCCAAGGCTACTGGTCCGTGGAGGGCAGCCTGGGGACCAAGTATCCAGTACTCAGCACTGTACACGCAGCATTCAAGAGATGCTTGCTGAAGACACCTTCTATCTCAAAGTGCTGGCTAAATACAGTGCTACCACCTCCATGAAGCCTCTTTGCTCTTGCCCAGCTCTTCCTCTTCGCTCTTGCCCAGCTCTTCCTCTTCATAGCTCTGCCCCTAGCTCTGTCTTTGGTGCTACTGGATTTATTCTGCAGTAGAGTGGGACTCTGGAGGCCCAGTCTTCTGAACATGGGCTCTCTTGGAACCAGGATGAAGTAGGTGTCCTCCTCGTGGCCTTTGCTGATCAAATGACTGAGTGGCCAGACAAGGATGGGAATGATGGAGTGAGTATCCATCTGTACTATGGTACAGTTGGAAGAGTGTGGGCTTCAGAGCCACTCAAGACTAGGCTGACTTTCACCTGCCCTTGATCTGGATGGGCCACTTTCATCTTTCACTTTCCTTCCCTGTGTAATGAACTTGCACAGAAGAGCTTTCTCATTGTGGACAGCCAATGAGATGCCTGGTGGGAGTTGACCAGCTGGTACAGCCTCAAGCTCTTTCCTACCCCTGCCTGAAGGCTCTGGGTTTCTACTTACCACTTGCTGGGAGGGGAGGCAGCTTGGTGTTCCGGGTGTGTGGAGCCGGGCCGGCCCACGAGCAGGAATCCTTGAGTGACTTGAGTTTCTCCCTCTTGAGCTGCTCGAACCGGTGCATAGTGGTCATGTGTTTGCGTAGCTGCAGGCCACCAGCGGAGGGGGCAGCCAGGGCTGGGGGGTCGCCCCCTGGTGAGGTGTCATCCAGCGCTGTCAGGTCTCCCAAGCTCCCGGGCCCGGGCCCCGGCATCTCCACGCCACTGTCATTGTTGGGGACACTGCCCAGAGGAGAGGGCTCACTGCTGCAGGATGATTGGGCTCCGGGGCTGGACTGACACAGCTACAGGGGTGAGGGAGAAGACACAGGCTCAGAGTGTGTTAGATGACACTTGCTCCTTTGTCTACCCCGCAACCTCCTGGGCTCTGCATGCTTGAGCAGGGGGCACTGGTGAAGGAAGGAAGCTATTTGGAAGACGAGCTTGCAAACCATCACCATCTGTCTGTCTGTGTGAGATGGTCAGGTCACTTCCCTTCTCAACTATGAGACGGAGCTGACCTGGCTCCCCTGTGCCTGACACCTGGAACGTACCCAGTACAGCCTGAAGACTCTCATTCCCAACAAACTGTGATGAGTCCGCCATGAAAAACAACAGAGACCTGCTAACTTGGTGCCTTCTATGGGGCAGAGGGCTCTCAACATTAGAGGCAGCTAACTAGGGGAAAGGTTGATCAGGCAGGGGGTATGAGATATAGACACCTCCCCCCCCTACTGAATGGCCACCCCAAATCATCCCTTTCTGAGGGCTGGAGTGGAGTGGAACAAGTTGTAGACAGTACATATGTATAATCATCAATGCCATAGAACCTGGGCTAGAGCTTCTGGGGCCTGAGAGCTGAGCCTCGATGATGCTCATCAGGGATGTAGCACCTTGGGGCACACATGAAGTGTTTCCCCATGAAGGCACAAGCACCAGGGAGACAAGAATCTTCTAGGCCTTGCTTACAATCCTCTTCCCTCTGCTTGATCTTCAGGCTCCTTTGTGGGTTGGTCTGCCTCTCTCCTATAGTTTAGACTCACAGTCCCCTCCTGCTAGGCCCCTCTGCAGCTTTGTTTCCACTGCTCCCCACAACTTCTAGTCTTTGTTTCCATAGGCCTACCTGCAGTGCCTTGTCACTGACACTCCAGACCCATGGTCCCAGGCCTGGACGCCTGCAGTGATGGGCCTGTCTCCCCCAAGCATCTCGGCCCCCCTCACTCACCAAGCCCACCCTCACCCCCCTACCCACCTTCCGCTCACCTCAGTACCGTCTATCCTTAGGGGAGGTACAGTTGGGAAAAAGAGGTGGAAACAAAGAACAGGTGGTTAGAACACAAAGAGCATAGGCAGAGGGGGGAGGACATAGGGACAGGACAGAGGGTGGGGACCCATAGCAACACTCGAGTGCTGGTTAGAAAGGTAGACACGCAGAGGACACCTTGCATGGGCAGATCAACATGTAGGGGGGAGTCTACCCCCAGCCTCGCCACAGCTGACCAGTAGAAGCTGGGTCAGAGAAAAGAACTCGAACAAGAGGTGCCATGTAAGGCCCAATGAGGTAAAGAGAGAAAAACTGAGTTGGAGTGGGGAGGGGGATCATCTCATCCTTAGAAGAAGGGCCCTAGAACAGACCTGCCCCTGGGGCTGAGGTTCTGGACCCTGGGCAGAGCTACAGAATCGTCCTCTGCTAGCTGGGCTGGCCAGCAATGCTTACCCCGGAGCTCTCTGTCTTGATGGCTTTGACATGTAGACAGTCCTCCACGGCCTGGCTGGTGCTACTGGCCTCAGCATTGTCCTCAGACCCACGGCCGCCGGGCTCTGCGCTGGCCTCGTCCCCATTCTCCTTGAGTACTGGGGCACGGAGGTGCACGTCATTGCGCTGCTTCTTGGTGACGTGAGCATCTGGGCCATGGACCGTTTTCACGTGCTTCCGGAGGGAGCTGGGGTCTGTGTACCTCTTGGTGCAGCCTGGGATCTTGCAGATGTAGGGTTTCTGGAAAGAGAATCAGGCATGTGTTACTGAGAGAGACTCAAGGGCAAATGTCAAGAATATACACCCCCCCGCCCACCCCCTGTCCTCCAGAAGCCATCCCACATCTCCTGCACACCTTGCTGGCCCAGCTGGCAGGTGCTCTGTTGTAACCATAGCCAGTGCAGACCATGTTTCCATGCAAGTCAGATATATGGTCAAGGGAGCTCTTGCCCAGGAAGCTGGTGGCATGGGTCAGAAAGACCATGCCTTCCAGAATTTCTAGCACTGAAAGCAAGTATCTGAGTTGATTATATCTCAAGAGAGCACCAGTAACTACACCCCTCTCCCTCCCATTTCTCTGATGAGAAAAGACAGGGTCAGGAGGCAAACACACTTATTACTGTGACCTGGTAACAAGATAAAAACATGGGACCCTGGGATCTTATCCCACTCACATCCACAGACACTCATGCCCCTATACACATACATCTAACCTACACATGTTTATCTATGCTTACAAACAGATACACTCACCCCTCTGCACATATCTATAGGTACAATGCCCCCCCCACTTCCTCACATCTTTATGCATGCACACATGCATGTATGCATACATACATAAACACAGATGAACACACACCTTCATACCTATACATGTTCATACACACATTCACACACATAGCCTCCAAGGCTGGCTCTAACTTAGGGAGACCCTGAGGACTTCAGAGCCTTTGAAAAGAATTCTCCTTCCTTCCTCCCTCCCTCCCTCCTTTCCTTCCTTATCTTCCCTCCCAGTCCTTCTCCCTCCCTTCCTTTCTATCTTTGTTTCTTTCTGCCAGTACTAGGGCTTGAACTCAAGGGCTTGAGCACTGTCTCTGAGCCTTTTCACTCAAGGCTAGCACTCTACCACTTGAGCTATAGTTCTTCTTCTAGCATTTCGGTGGTTAATTGGAGATAAGAATTTCATGAACTTTTCCTGCTCCAGCTGGCTTTGAACTCAGATCTCAGCTTACTGAGTAGCTAGGATTACAGGCATGAGCCACTAGTACCTGGCTCCTTTGAACATTCTTATACCTGCTGATTAGCATTGGAGCAAACTCCTTTGGGGCCCACACAGTATCTAAACTGTTAGAAATGCTCTTTGCAAAGTCTGCCTGAGTGACAGTGATTCTGTGGCTGGACTGGGAATGGGAATGGGAATGGGGAGAGGCTGCACGGGTACCTGTCCATTTCCCTCTGGTTCTGGCTTTGGGGAGACACAGGCTGCTCTGAGCCAAGAAAAAAAATCTTTATTATCATTTTTTAAATCTGAGACCAAGTCTCAAATTCAGTTTCTGATGCTTTATACTCACTGGCAGGCACCCTAACAGCAGAGACTTGGGGGCATTGGTGACATAGGCTGTTTTGGTCCATTAATAGGGAGCCAATGGCCTCACCAGGCTCAGACAGCACTAATGGCTGGAAAGGTCACCACTAGCCACTTGATCCTCAGGAGCAGGCTGCTGTTCTGCAGCTGGACCCTAGCTTGTGAGTGACACAGGTACCATGATGTTTTCGGAATGGGACTCCTAGGTCCTAAACAGAGCACCACTTCATGGCACTGGGGAGTTACTTCACTTCTCTGAATGTCAGAATCCTCATCTACAGGACAAGCTATAGAATCCAGCCAACAGCTGGGGGAATGAATAAGGTACAGGGCTTGTGTCATGACACATCAGACATTTAGAGATCAGAACAGACATTCTACTTTGATTTCAGCTCCTTGTGGACCTCGTGGTGGTTACCTGTAGCTATGACAGAGAGTTGGAAACTGAGGCACAGAGATGGTGAATGTGCCACGGGACCTGTACACACCCTTTCAGAGAAGAGGTTGTGGCACACAGAGGAAGAAGTGCTGTCCAGGCCACTGAGGGCCGGTCTGCTATGTCCAAGGATGTGCAGATGAGGGATGATGTGGGTGCCTGGGAAGCTGGCTGCCAGTTTCTGAAAGGTGTCTACAGGCTATGGGAGATACAGTCAGGAGTGCCTCTGTGTGCATGCTGTATACATTCCCCACCACATTACCTCATTGGAGTGGGTGCGGTTCTGGTGCTTGGCCCGGTCAGAGGCGTTGGAAAAGGCCTTGTTGCAGCCCTCATGCTCACACACGTACGGCTTCTCCCCAGTGTGGGATCGCAGGTGTGTCTTCAGGTTCTCCAGGCGAGAGTAGGCCTTTGAGCAGCCCTCAAACTGGAATGAGGTCAGCAGGCCAAAATTGGTCAATGAGAACATCCCAGATCCAACACAAGGGGGCTCCACTGGCCCCCTCACCGCCCCCCCACCCCCCCACCTTCCCGATGCTCCCAGCAGCAGATTTTAATAATAACTTTTCAGAAAACTTGGAAAGGGCTGAAAAGTATAACCATTAACAACATGATCCAAGACCTGATGGAAGAGCTAAAAGTATATGTAAATGCATATAAAAATATGGTTGTACATGTTTATTTTGATATAAATAAGAACATTAATACGCGATCAAGCCATCTTTAACCAATGGTCTTAGATGCCATAAAACTACAAGCAATTAAAAAAAAAAACTGGATTCCATCAAAGTTCCACTTTGGTGTCTCAAAGGAACTTGTCAAGAAAATTTAGACAATTCATTAGAATGAGAGAAATAATTGCAGGTTTTGGATCTACTACTTAGATATATTGAGAACTCTTATAATTTAACAAAATGATAAGTAACCCAAGTAAAAATATCTGCAAAAGACTGTGAATATACAGTTCTCCAAAGAAGATATACAAATGGCTAATCAACACTTTTATATTCAATATCATTAGTTATTAGGGAAATATTAATCAAAACCACAGGAGATATGATCTCACACCTGCTGAGATGGTTAGAATAAAACAATTAGGATGTACTGAAAACCAGACTATTCTACACACAGCTGATGGGAATAGAAAATGGTGAAGCCTTTTGGGGAAAGTCTGTCAGGTCCTTGATTGTCATAGGATGGAGCAATTCTATTCCTTAGGGATACTACCCAAGAGAAGTGAAAGCATGCTCACACATAGGAACATAGGAATGTTCACAGCAGCATTCATTACTCAGAAATAGACAAAAAGTGAAAGCAATGCAAACTATCCTTTCTCCACTCATCAATGGAATGTTATGCAACCAAGAAGAGAAACTATGGTTTCATGTTACAACAGGGATGGACTTTGAAAACATGTAAGGAACCAGTGGTATATATTGTATGATCCCATTTTAATGAAATGTCAGAGGAGGCCAATCAGAACGACGGAATATAGTTTGGTAACTGGCCAGCGGTGGAGGAAATGATGGAAGATGGGGAGTGACTGCTAATGGGCACAGGGGCCATTCTGGAGCGAAAAGGATTCGGTGGAGGTAACTAGTGGCTATGATGCAGAACTTTGAGCATATGCTAAAATCTATCCAACTGTACCTTTTTTTTTCCCCAAAAAGGGGTGAATTTTATGGCATGTGCCAGCAAAGGTAACATTTCTCATTGACTCTTGGACACTGCCAATTTAATAAGCCAGAATGATTTCAGAGATATTACCATGAGAACAAAATACATGTCTCAGGATCTATGGCACAAAGTACTTCTGATTCTGAGGGTTCAGGTGCAATCACGTTAGTGGGCTGGGTCACTTCTGCTTTTGACAAAGGAGCCTTTTTTTTTTTTTTTTTTACTTTTTAGGTCCAAGACCAGGACTTGAACTCAGTACGTCCAGCTTTTGTTCATTAGCTAGTGCTTTACCAACTGAGTCTTGCCTCCAATCCCCAAAGGAGCAATTTCTGAGTGCCAAAAACTAAAGGTCCCATTGCTAGGCTTCTAAGTTCTGGTGCCTCAGTTAAAGAGACTGAAAAGTTTTTTTTGTTGTTGTTGTTTATTTGTTTTTAAATCTTTGAGCTCATTTCTTTTTTTCTTCTTTTTTGCTTCAGTGCTGGGATATACGTTATAGTCTCATTCATGCTAAGCAAGTGCTCTACCAATGAGTCACACCTCCTAGCCTCAGTTTAAAAAATTAAGGTGACAAAGTGATCTCTAACCCATCCTTACTCAAGTCATGAATGACTAGGATACCTCTCTCGAGATGTTACATAGCCAAGGCTCTCTGCTCAGTGTCCCCTGCTAAGCTACCTGAGGGGTTCAGCTGTGTCTTGGGGCTCATAATTAAGACACAGCCATGGAGATTCTGGCACACCCTTCATGTGGTCAGCTAGTTGCTCACATTTAGGAGAGGGTCTTTTTGGGTGGTGTTACTAAAGTTTAAACTCAGGGCTTTATGTTTGATAGGCTGGTGCTCTACCACTTTAGCCACATTTCCAGCCCTGATTTTTGCTGGCTAGTTTTTGAGACAAGGTCTCACATTTTCATTTTTTTCTGCTCAGACTGGCCTTGAACCTCCATCTTTTCACTTGAGCCTCCCATGTATAAGATTTCGTACATGAGTCACTAGTGCCTGCATCAAAGAGATTTTTGAGGTTCAAGATAGCAGTAGATGAGAGGTAACTAGGATCCAAGACGGGCAGAAAGCTGGGGTTTGAATAGGGCAGATGACCCACTGGCAAGTCCTGTCCTCGTACCCAGCCACGTGGGGCCCTGTGCCTCACCGTGCACTTGTGTGGCTTCTCGCCCGTGTGTCGCCGCATGTGGACCACCAGCATGTACTGCGCCTTGAAGGGCTTCTGTTCCCTCGTGCAGGCCTGCCAGCGGCACACGAACTCCTTCTTCTCCCCGTGGATGTGCTCGTTGTTGATGTGCTGCATGACAAGCCCCAGGGTGAGATCAGCCGCCTGGCCTCCATGCCCACCCCCTTGCAATTGCATTGCCCACCCACTGTGTACACACCAGTGCCCAGAGGCCTACTCTCAGCTGACCATGGAACCATTCCAGAGACCTCTTTCTATTCTGCCTCTCCAGCAGACCTCACCTGTAGTAAATGCATTTGCTGCCCTCCTGGTCTTTGCTCCTGTGTGGGACCAGTCATTGTACTTGACCTTCGGTGATTACGTGAGGACCCTCACTCCATTCTACCCAGACCACCTGTGTGTCAGGTCAGGCCTGCTCACAGATCATCACTGTGGCCATTAAAGAAAGCACTGTGGTGACTCTGTGTCCCGTCTCTATCACTTGGTCATCTGCATGACCATGTACCCTGCTCACCTCAGGCTGGGCTCAGGGGTCTGGTCTGTGGGGACTTATTGATGTTCCTGAGCTACAAAACATACTTAAGGATGGCAAGGCAAGAAATATACATGCCCTTATGCTTCAGAGATTTTTCCATGCGATATTTTATTTTGATAGAAAAACAGTGACAGAGCTGCTGGCCACTCTGGAAATCTTCAAAGGTATTCCGAGGTCTGGGCATCAGGCATTGGCAGAATTTACCCCAGAAGACAAAAAGCCTTGGTATTGTGGCCTGAGCCACACCCCCAACTGTCATGTGCACAGACAGCACCCTGGGAGCAAGGAAAATCTTTCATGCTTTGAACTTCCAGAGAAATCTTCTCCTATTAGCCTCACGTTCCATTTTTAAAGCCTTTCAAATGATAAAAATGCTTCCTGACAATGCCTTTCATTTTTCCTTATTGGTTTACTTAGTGACAAATTGCTAATAATTGACGGGGGCTCCAGCTCACTCGGATGCCTGCACCATCCATCTTCCCAGAGAGCTGGGCCAGACACAGCTCAGTAAGATCCTCTTCTGTCTTGTAAAGCAGTCTGCTCTTTCCAGGTGGGGTGGAGGTGACCGTGTACGGCCACAGGGACAGGCCTGCAGAACTGTCACTCAGAGGACTTAGGTATTGTTTGTTTGCTTGCGTTCTGGTAGTGCTGAGCATCAAATCCAGGGGCTTTGTGCATGCATGGTAGGGGAGTACTCTACCACTCACCTACATCCCCGTCCCGCACACCTTTTCTTTTTCTTTTTTTATAGTGGTACTGGGCTTGAACTCAGGGCCTGAGCACTATCCCTTTGCTTTTTTGCTCAAGGCTGGTATTCCTCCATTTGAGACATGGCTCTGTTTTTTTTTTTTGTTTGTTTGTTTTTGTTTTTTGTCATGGGGCTTGAACTCTGGGCCTGGGCGCTGTCCTAAACTCTTCAGCTCAAGGCTAGTGCTCTACCAACTTGAGCCACAGTGCCACTTCGGGTTTGCTGAGTGGTTTATTGGAGATAAGCGTCTCACAGACTTTCCTGACTGGGCTGGCTCTGAAACACAATCCTCAGATCTCAGCCTCCGGAGTAGCTAGGATTATAGGCGTGAGTCACTGGCATCCAGCAGCATTTGTTTTTAATATTCTCTTCCTGGCTTCACTTCACATGGCCTGTTCCCTCATTTTCTTTTATGCTCTGTACTCTGTATTTAGGAGTCTACTAATAGAAATGGTCCAGGTTTCTCCTGAGGCTTCCTCTCCAGTCTCTTTTCTTCTTCTTCTTCTTCTTTTTTTTTTTTTTTGGGTCCCATTGTGGGGCCTGAATTCTGGGCCTGGCCACTGTCCCTCAGCTCTTCAGCTCAAGGCTAGCGCTCTACCACTTGAGCCACAGCGCCACTTCCGGCTTTTTTCTTTTTGCTTATGTGGTGCTGAGGAATCGAATCCAGGGGCTCATGCATGCAAGGCAAGCACTCTACCACTGAGCCACCTTCCCAGCCCTCTTTTCTTCTTGTTCTTCTTCGTCTTCCTCCTCCTCCTTTTTCTCCTGCTCCCCCTCATCCTCATATTCTTTTTCAAATGACATTATTGGGGTTTAATATCAGAGTCTTGTCCTTCACAGATAGGTGCTCTACTACTGAGCCATACCTCCAGCCATTTTTCAGTTGATTATTTTTGATATAATGCCTGCCTTTATACCAGGGCTAGCTTGGACTATGGTTTTCCTATTTGTACTTCCTCACGTGGCTGAGATGACAGATATATTGCCTAATCACTGATCTAGATGGAGTTCTTTGAACTTTTGCCCAAGCTAGCCTTGGACTATTATCCTCTAGATCTCTGCCTCTCAAGCAGTTAGGCTTGAACCACAGTGCCCAACTTCTAGCTCCTTCTTTACAGCATAAGCTCAGGAAGATCAGGTGCAACAGGAGCTCCATGCCTCCCCAGCAGGATGAGACCAGAGACTTACATGCACCAGCTGCTCCTGTGTGTCATACTCCTTGGTGCAGTCTGCCCAGTGGCAATTGGTCTCATAGATGACCACCTCAGCCTCCTGCTTGCAGTCATCTCTGTCTAGGTCTTCCTTGAGGTCAGCCAGCTGCTCCTGGGGGAGAAGACCACACCTATATGAGCAGGTCCAGCCAGGGAGCCCTGAGGACAAGGTGCTAATAGCCCCCTATAGTCTATGCGAAGGATCCAGGAGCAAGGCGAGTCACTGCATTTTCTGCCAAGGGAAAGCATGTGCATGCACACAGGACACAGAGACCACCTCCTTGTGATAAAATGGCTTCCCACACTAAGAGGAAAGGTGGGCTCTGTGTAGCCTACCTGGGGTGAAGGGCGATCATGGGCCTCCTAGATTCTCAGAGCCAGCTCTTGCCTCTGCACGGCCATTAGGCAAGTGTATCTTCCCTGGATATGTGCTGGCCTCATCAATTTCAGCGGCCCCTGATGATGGCCAGCATTGTGGAAACTATGCATCATGCTGAGATCAGTTGTGGTGTCAGCAAGGGGAGAAGAATTTGTCACCAACCCCTCTGTTTGCTTGACAATAACAGGATCCAATATATCATGAAAATTAAGTGCCCAAAGTATGCCTCATTGAAAGATGGTGCAGTACATGTGGGGAGTCAGGGATAGGAGGTCCCGAGCATCCTTGGTAGTTATGCTGGGGAGTCTGCAGTAACAGATAGAGCTATGCCCCTGTGAAGGTTGGTGGGCAGGAGGCTTGCTTCTGAATCAGCAGAACTTATGCTCTTGGCATGACAGAGAGGAGGGCCTGCCTGCAGCCATCTTGGGGAATAGCAGGGTTTTCAAAGGGGATATACACAATGCTCTCAGATACAAGACAGGCTGGTACTGGGCTGTGTGTGTGTGTGTGTGTGTGTGTGTGCGCGCGCGCTCTCGCATGCGCACGCTTCTAAATGCTATCTCTTAGTTTTTTCTACACATGGCTGATGCTCTATCACTTATGCCATACCTCCACTTCAGGCCCTTTGGTGGATAAATGGGGATAAGAGTCTCAAGTGCTTTCCTGCCTAGCCTGGCTTTGAATTGCGATCCTCAGATCTCAGCCTCCTGAGTAGCTAGGATTATAGGCTCTTGGTCTCCTTAATCTTTTTATTTTATTTTGTTTTTACTTTTTGGTGGTACTGGGGTTTGAACTCATGACTCTGTGGTTGTTAGGCAGGTCTTCACTTAAGCCATATCTTATCCCATGTTTCTCACTCTCCCTTCAGGAATCACCCTTCACTCTTGCCCAAAGGGACTCAGGAGCTAGGCTGAATATCTGGAAGCTTGAGTTCCCTTACCCATAAGGGCCAGTGGCAATGGAAATGTGGTAGGGGCTGAAGTGTCAGGACAGCAGGTAAACTTGAGGGCTTGAGCCATTCAGGGAACATGAGCAACTCAGTTCAACCAGGCTTATGTTGCTCAAGGCTGATATAGGCGAGGATATGACAACACGCCAAGATAACACAGAAGAGAAGGAAAAGTTTGTTCATTCACCCATTCACTCACTCACTCATTCATTCAGCCAGCACATGTTTGATGACCATGCCACATATATACGTATATACATACATATATGTGCATATATACGTATATATGGTGCTGGGGACACAGCATTAAGAAGGTCACAGCCCCGTGTGCCCACCTTGCCCATGCCACCCTATGATCCATTCATTTATGCATGCATGCAGCCTTCCTTCCTTCCTTTTTCTCTCCCTTTCTTCCTCCTTCCGTCTTTCCTTTCTTACCTTTCTTGCTTCCACTTTTTTCCATTCTTCTCTCCTTCCCTTACTTCCTCCCTCCCTCCATTTACCACCAAGGTTACAGCCCAAATGGCAGTCAAATGAAGAGATCTGGCCTAGTCCTACACAGGGATGGTGAGGGTGGCCAGCAGGTTACCTGGGTCAGTCCTAGTGGAGAGGCCGGCCGCAGACCCTCGGTCTCAGTCTTGACTTTGCTGCGCTTGTGTATAGTGATAGGATTCACTGTGCTGCTCACAGCTGACTCGCTGCTCTGCTTGTTCTGGGTGAGGGCACAGAAAGCAGTCTGTTATATAGATGCAGAGCAACGACACTCAAAATTCTACCTCTGTCTCCACATAGCCTGCCGAGTGCATCTCTGTGTTTGAAGCATGAGAAACTGAGTCACCCCAGCCAGAGCCTGCCAGGTATACCTCAACTGCCATTACCAGTCTTCATGAAGCTGCTGCCTCCACCTCAGGACCTCAGGAAATAGAAGACACACCCAAAAAACTAGGCACTCTTGGAGCCTGTCCCAAGGATGCTTAACTTCTGAGCATTCCAGAGTAGAAAAAGCAAGTCCAGGGGCAGAAGGTCTAGGGGCTGTAGTTTCAGGTGACCCTTAAAAAGCTGAAAGCAAGTATCTGAGAGGATGCTGGGGGGCCACCCTGGGGCCCTGGGATATAGGAAGGATATTCTGCAGGCATCTTGCCATCTTCCCCAAGACATGGCCACATCCACTTCCCACTTCTATGCACATGCCACTTGCCAGGGGGTGGCTTGAGATAGCTGCTTCCCTCTAGGATTCACATTACATTATCTACAGTCTGAGGCTCTCAGGGGCTGTATGATTACTGGAGCTTGTTTGGCTGCACAGTGAGCATTCTGGGTAGTAGGGCCCCATCTGCATATGAACTGGCTCAGGCCAAGAGAGGTAAACAGCCATTTTTAGCAAGCCAAGACCCAAACAGAATCTGAATCCAAAGCTTGTGCTTATCTTTGGGCATCTGTGTCACACTGTACTAGGATGCACAGGCATGCCAAAGGCCCATTGGAAAGTTGAATAAGATGGTGTGGAAAGGCCTGTGGGAAACCCTTCTCTAATAGGAATCTGCATTCATATGCTCATTTCTATATTGTGTACTAGGTCCTTACATAGTGCCATACCCCATGTGTTAGAGTGTTTCTCCATCCACTTATTATGCTGATGGACAGGAAAAAGCAGACCTGAGATGCTGGGGGAACTTGTCATAGTCCAGGCCAGGGCTCCTGATGAGCAACTTTTTGTCAAGTACCAGCAGCTAAAGTCAACCCACCAGCCAGGCTTGAGCCCAGAGTCCTCCATCATGTCTCAGCAGTGAACAGCCCCGATGACAGCCTGATGCCATGTGATAGTCCCCACCCCCCTGCTCCCTGTGTCCACCTACCTGGCTGGTGTCACTCAGGCAGTTGCTGCTGCTGCTATTGAGCTGAGTGGGTGCAGCATTGATGGAGGTAAGAGCCATCGGCTGCTGGGCCAGGAAGGTAGGTGAGGGCTGAATCAGGGGTGGCGTGTGTCCAAAGGCTGAGCCCAGGCTTCGCTGCTGATTGAGGATCTGCTGGTAGGCCACGGGGTTGATGGGGTGGGGGAAAGTGAAGGCTGGGCTGCAATGGAGAGCAAAGGGAGGGGTGTGGGTGGGTCTCAGGCTGATATTTCCTGGGCAGAGAGGACGCCATCCAAACAAGATGGGCATTGTGCTATAAATGCACCATTACCATGGCTTTTCCTCACTCAACCCGCAGTGGCCTCCCCTTTCAGCTTAGCTGCTTCTCCACTGGTAGGCTGGTCCCATCTCAGCCCTACACCTGGCCTCTCCACTGCTCTGACACCCATGATGTATTTCTGAGTCATTGCTGTCTGCTTAGCTGAGCCCCATTTGGCTTTGGAAGCTGGTTCTGATGTTCCCTTGTCCAGATCCGGAGTGTCTTTCCTGCTCACTCTGATCCCCTCTTTCCATAACAGGAGACAGAATGCTTGCTGGTCACCTGGACCACATCATGGAAGACCATGTGGCTTCTTCCTGCTCCCTTCAGCAGCACTGGGGTGGGAACTGGGTCTGTGTTCAAGGACATTTAAATGGTCAACAGCCTTGCAGGCTTCTGCTCTGGGTGAAAGGTTCTCTAGGAGCTGCACAGACATCTTCACAATACAGAGGCTCCAATGGTGTGACAGGAGCAAGGAGGAAGCCACAAAGGTCCCCTGGGAGACCTAGAGCTAAGCCAGTCCAAACTTCTAACCTACAGGTAATATGTGCTAATTGTTTTGTTTTTTTTTTGGTCCAGTTGTGGGGCCTGAACTCTGGGCCTGAGCACTGTCCCTCAGCTCTTCAGCTCAAGGCTAGTGCCCTACCACTTAAGCCACAGCACCACTTCCGGCTTTTTTCTTTTTGCTTATGTGGTGCTGAGGAATCGAACTCAGGGCCTCAGGCATGCAAGGCAAGCGCTCTACCACTGAGCCAACTTCCCAGTCCCGTGCTAATTGTTTTAAAACATTCTGTTGGAGTGACTTGTGCAGGAAAAGATAATTGATATGCTTGTTATTCCTTCTATCTCCCCATTCTGGCCCAACTCTCCCAGGATTCCTAGCCACCCTAGCCTCTCCTGGAGCATCATTAAGTTTGAGCATGCAAGTTTCAGTCAAATTGGTGGGGATCGGAGTCTCAGAACAGTCATGGGTTGCAGAGGGGAGAGGAAGAACAGCTCTGACATGCTTTCATGCAGATGCAGCCATGGTGTGCCACAGCCATAGCAATGCCAACAAGAACTGCTTAGGACATGGGTCATATTTGGTGTGGCCTCCTATATACTCAGCAGCTGTCTAAGAAAGCCTTCTTTGAACTCAAACATCTCTGATGTCACTGGGTCACTGTTGGTGACAAAGCCTAATACAGGAAGTGGTACTCCTGGGTAGGCACACTTCCAACATATCATAGTGATAAAATTGCTAAGTGTGCTTAGTCGCAAATATGGCAAATCCTACCTTTTTCTCCTTAGCTGACAGCAACAACTGAAAATCTAGACCCTTCCCACATGGCCCCTAGTTCTCAACTTCCTCCCTACAGGTGGGGCTCACCTCAGGGCACCTGCCGACAGGTGTCCATAAGAGCCGCTGGCAGCTGAGCTGCTGCGTGAGTTGTTGATGTAAGCCACCAGGGAGTTGGGTGAGGTCCGGATCATGCGCTGCAGGTCGAGGCTGGCATCTGAGAGTGGGGAGATGGAGAGCGCACGCTTGCGGCTCAGGCGGGGTGTCACCCGAGGGCTGGAGAATCGTGACACTGTGGGACAACCAACAAAAAGCACATCAGTGTTACCTGTCTTGGGGGGGGGGCAGGTGATGGAGCAGGTAAGGGGGAGTAGGGATAAGTAAGTGGGGGACAGGAAAGCCTGCTTGAATGGTGTCATGAAAATGGAAACGCTGCTGACTTTCTAAATGAGCTCTTGAATGTGGGAAGTAATCTTGTTCAGTCTCAGTTGACTCATCTGTAAAATGATGCAGTTCAGCACACAAAGTGGTATTTGGGAAGTACAGTGGGGGTGTTAATGAGTAAACATAAGCCTTGGGCACATGTGAGTGTCTTGATCCTTAGACACAGAGTCCAGGGTACAATTCAGCAATGCGTAAAGCATGGCAGTGATGTGCATGAAGCAGGAGTGGCCTGGAAGGTTCTGCAAACTACACCCACTTGGGAAGCCAGCCCCAGGCCAAAAACTGGCTTGACCACTGCCTGTAAGGGCTCTGCTCCTTCCACACCCACCACAAGGCCAGCCATTGCTATACTTTGGATCTGGCATGTGTTAGAGACTTGATACCTAGCTTGGCACTATTGTGAGGTGGTAGAACCTTTAAGAGGTAGGGCTTAGTGGGAAGACTTCAGGTCATTGGGGATGTGTGGCTAAAGAGTATCATGGAAACTCAGCTACTTCTTCCTCTCTTTTACTTCTGAAATGTGATATGAGTAGTTTTGCTCTATCCATGCTCCCACCACAATGTCCTGCTTTGCCACAGGTCTAAAAAACGACAGGGCCAACAAAAACCAGAACCTCCAAGGTCATGGACAAACTGATCTTTGAAAAGTACTCAGTTAAGAAAGTGAGCTAGAGTATTCTTCTTTCCTCTACATGTTCTTTCTTGTCATCATAAGCTCTATTTTTTGCTGTCTATTCCATTGGGCTCTGGGGGCTGGGGCTTACAGAGCTCTTAGCAAGCAGAGGTTTGACTGTGTCTTCCAAAAGCTGATCGACTAGAAACTTTCCCCCCAAGTGCACTTCTTAGGGGCATCTGGACATGGACTTTTGGGAGGTAATTATGGTTAGATGAGGTCATGAAACTTGGTGTGGGGCTTTATGAAAAGGAGACCTAGCAAGCGTACTTCTTCTGTCTCTTCATGTGACAACTTCTCCCATGTTGTCATAAAAAACAGACCCGCCTAAGATGCTAGTGCCATGAACTTGGGCTGCCCAATCTACACAGCCATGAGCTAAGAAAATCTCTATTCTTTATCAGTTTCCTAGACTTCAGTATTTTGCTATAGTAATAGCAAATGGCTTAAGGCAGGTGGGTACATAGAAGGTGATCCGTAGATGCCTCTGGAGACACTGGTGGGGGCGGGAACATAGTCAGACCACTCCTTTCTGTCTTAGCAGGAAGGATCCTAGCTCATATGCCTAAGGACAGGAGGAGGTACAGGGAAAGCCAGAGCAGGCTTACTCCTTGCCTTTACAGAGGCCAGGCTGACACCATGACCACCTATTCTGAGGGAGGATGCAGGCGGCAAGCAGCCCCCTCCCAGCTGGTCAGCATCTCTGGCCAGTGCATGTCAGTCACAACCTAGTGACATGTAGTCCCACTGCCTTAACAGCAATCACCAACCTGCCATGTCACCATCCTTACCATACAGGTAAGGAAATTAGTCTTGGGAGGGCAGTGACTTTGCTCAAGGGGATTTGAACCTGGATTCAAAGGAACCCTGCTGTGTGGATTTTCTGGGAACTCTATGGCCGTATCCTCTGTCCTCAGAGAGACTGGGTAAGGACCAGGCCTAGAAAGATGCTCTGCTTACAAACAACTTTAACCTCCAGCTTTCAGGGCTCTGAATGGTGAACTTGCTATAGCCAATTGCCTGTTCAGCCTCCCCTCCTGTCTGAAAAATGGCTCCAAGTCATCCCATCTGTATCTCCTCTCCTCTACTCCTGCTCCATCCCACCAGCTCTTCCTTCAGTGTGGGATCTTCTGCCCCTCAGCACCCACCCAGTGTAGGACAGAGGATTATGGTATCAGCCCCGCCCCCCATCTCCTCTGCACAGCTGAGCTTGCTCAGGTAGTTCCAGAATGGAACCCTTCTTTAAATCCCTTTTCTCTCCAGCTGGAGGCCCAGCCTGGCCCCGTGCTTGCTGGGATATCATTTGAGGGGCCCTAGATAAACTGCTGTCTGTCCAATCCACATTCCTTAGTTTTGGCCAAGACAGCTTTTTAACTTAAAAATCAGATCATGTTCCCGCCTTCCTCTCAAATTTCCCCAAGCTCCCCTCTGCTATTATAATGGGGGCTCACAGCTGGGCTTTATCTTGCCCCTCTGGTCTCCTTCTGCTCCCTCCTACACAGGGTCTATGCATGTGTGGCTTTCTCTGTGTATCAGCTGTGTTCTTACTAAACAGTCACCTCTTCCAGGAAGTCTTTCCTTTCCTCCTCAAGCTGGGCGATGGCTCCTATGGTCAGACCTATCTTTCCACAAAGGGTCGTAGTAGTGAGCCATCGCTCTTATTGTTATCTGCTGGCTCTCTTCCTCTTCATCTCTCCCTCTCTCGGTCTGTCTTTCTCTCTCAGGCATTAGGAGCTTAAGTCCTTCTCCCCTTAGCATTGTATCCCTGATGTTCAAGCCATGGAAAGGCCATGTGGTGACCAAACATCACCTCCATGACATCACGAGGGACAGCAGAGCTACAGCCCTGACAGAATGTCTTCTTAGCAGGTACCAGGGCCTGGATTGTGTCAAATAATTTCATCAGCTCAGCTGCCCCATGGAGGCTGTTCTCCATCTTTTACAGAAGACAAAGGTATGGGGGCGGCTCATCAGTGTGCTTAGGACACACAGCCCATGGAAGAGAAGACCGGGTTCATGAGGCTGGCACATGGATGCCAGGATCATGTGCCACTGTGGCTACACCCTGGGCAGGATCCAGAAGAAAAGGAAAGGTATAACTCAGCAGTTGATAGAGACACACAGAGAGCTTGCTAGCTGGCCACCTCTGTCCCTTAATGGCATTTTTAGAGCTGATTAACTCAGCCTTCTTGAGCCTCTCTTTCCTGATCTCTACAGTGAGGTCATGTGGTTTAACTTGGCAGGTTGTGATGATACACTGTAACTCCAGGTACAGGGCTTACAACCAGTGACATTCTAGAGGGAAGAGGCAGAGTCACAACTTCCTTAGTGCTGAGAAGCCTATTTTGATGGACAGTGTGAATCTATAGTCAATGAGGAAGGAAAGTAAGGCAATTCTAGAAAGGACAGTCAGGCCATGTGGCCATCCAGTTGCCCCACACATCCACCCATCGGCTTCCATCCAGGATTCTCTTAAGCTTCTTGGTTCTTATTTCCTGAGTGTGCTGGTCATTCCTTACTTCAAAGCCAGCTGCAAAAGTCAATCCTCCTGAAGACCAATTGCTTACAAGTCACAAGGAGGGAAATAGAAGACACAAAAGATCTAACATTTACTAAAGGAAGAATACACACATCTTGTCATATATATATATATATATGTATATGTGTGTATATATATATATATATATATATATATATATATATATATATATTTACTGCTAACACTCTGATTACCACCCTCTTGGGCGCCCCTAACAAGAGGAAACAGGCCAAATCTGACAGTGATATTCATCTCTGTTATTCCCACCCCTCAAGGGAAATATGTGTATTAATGTGCCTCTTCCCTTGATAAATTACTAAATAGGAAGAAAAGCCTGGCATTCATTTCCCACGGTCTTGCCTATGATTTATAGCTTGGGGCTGGCAGAGCCACAGCGTCCATTCATCTGTGGAAGAGCTTGTTCTAATTCGGGTCTGTCACTAGGAGACAGGCCACCTGCTGTCCTCACCTGGCTAGAAGCCTAACATAGCCTGTTCCTGTCCCCACCTGTCTCTGGCTTTGTGTGTGTGTGTGTGTGTGTGTGTGTGTGTGTGTGTGTGTGTGTGTGTGCACGTGCATGCTAGTACTAGGGCTTATACTCAAGGCTGGCACTCTTATTACTTGGCTTTTTAAATTAATTGGAGTCTCATGGACATTTATGCCCAGGTTGGCTTTGATCCATGATCCTCAGATCTCAGCCTCCTGAGTAGCTAGGATTATAGATCTGAGTCCCTATCACCCAGCCAATATCTGTTTCTTTCTTTTGCTCATTCCAGTTTGTTCATTCATCCACCTGCCTCTTATGCAGCACTGGGGCATGCTGGGAGGACCCAAGGCTCTGCCCTCATAGAATTCACTGTCTAGGTGAGAGATGAAGTCAGTGCCCAGAGACCCTGGACATATTCAGCCTAGTGGTGTCTCTGGAGCAATGGGAAGGGCAGAAGGTACAAGGGCTGGCCCTTGGTCCCGAAGGCCAGGCCCTGACCTCTTCTCACCTCTGTGGCCTGGGGCTTTGGTCAAGCAACCGACTGTCTCAGAGCTAGTTCACTGCATGGAAGATGGGCTGGAGAGCCCACCTTGGGGCTGCTGTGAGCTGAGGAGCATTAACATGTCACTCAAAGCTGGGATGGGCTTCTGTGGCATTAGGTTGGGCACTTTCCCCAGGGCCTGCAGACTGAGAAGCAACTCTATCCCGTGCAAGGACCCTGGAGCCTTGTCTGTACCCAGTGCCATCCTCAGCAGGGGGCTGGGATGTCCTTTCCATGGGGACATTTGCAGCAGTGATGGAGGGCCCACCATCTCCAATGGCCAGGGAGCACCCCTGCATGGCCCAATCTTGTCAGGTCTTCTCTGGACTCATGGAATGCATACTCTGAAGAATCCAGCTGCAGAACCCCAAGTGCTCTCCACATGGCCATCCATAGCATATCTAATCAGGGAGTAGAGGCAGCACAGACCGCAGAGAGGCTCCGGTTAGGGCTCTATAATGATTCCTAGTTACACGATGGGGGCAGGGCAGAGAAGTGGCTTTGCATGTTGATGTGTGCAGGTTTATCAGATAGCTCATACACACCACCCAGTGCAGGCTAGTATTCAGCAGCCTAACCTCCTTGGCCTCAGTCTCCCTCTCTGTCCCAGGCTGACTCTAGGCTCAGCCTCTGACAGCCTCTCCCTTGGCAGGTCCTGCCTCTCTGTGCTGTGATCAATGTAACTTGTTTCTGGACGCTCCCTCCCACTGGATTCACAGGCAGCATAAAGAACGAGTGTCAGAATGGAGGTGACATCCAAGTCAAATTAGTGTCAATATGACAATAAAATACACTGCTCAGAGGAAATATGGGCTGTAAACAGTATTTCAATCGGAAACATTTCAATCTTCTCAATGGGGTGCAGGTGGGGGAGGCAGGATGTGGCGGCTGCAGAGCTGTGGTTAAATCATCAATATTTAACTTTGTAAGGCAAGAAGGTGCTGCATTAGTGCCCTGGTGACAAAGAGTGAATTGTCACTACCAGAGGGGTGACTTTGACTTGTGTGTGTGTGTGGATGTGTGCGCGTGCGTGTGTGCGTGCGTGCGTGCGTGCTGGTCCTGGGGTTTGAACTCAGGTGTCTCTGAGCTTTCTTGCTCAAGGCTAGCACTCTACTGCTTGAGCCAGAGCTCTACTTCCTTGCCTTTGGGTCATAATTAGAGGTAAGAGTTTCACAAACTTTCTTGCCTGGGCTGGCTTTGAATACAATCCTCAGAGCTCAGCTTCCTTAATAGCTAGGATTATAGGCATGAGCCACCAGTGCTGGGCAACCTTGGCTTTCTCAGCTGGTCTGTGACCTTGCTGTGTGGCTTTGCTCCCTATATGTCAGAACACCAAAGGACCAAAGGAGAAGTTGGGAAGTCTCCAAAGCCACGGAACTACCTGGTCCTGCTTCAATTCTGACCTCCAGGAAGATGGGCTCTGCATCTGGCCTCCAGGACCCTCTTAGAGGCCAGGCTGCCCTCAGTCTTTCTGGTTTGCTACAGGGTTTTCCACTAGTAAGGTGTGTCTCCCCAGGTGAGATGATCACAGGTTCCATGGAGATAGAGACAAAGACTGAGATCCTCCTCAGACACAGTCAAGTTCTCTATTCCAGGAAGAGATAGAAAGCTCCAGTTTAAGATCTATTTATTTATTTAACCCTAAAAGGTGAGTCAATTAAAAATATTAAATACGCAGCCACTCAGAGGACACATGACTTGGTCAAAATTATGCTGTGGTTGTACATGAGTGGGCTGGGCTGAGAGATCACCAGGCTTCCTCCTGCCCAGGCTGCCTCTGAGTCTGGCACACATCCCACCTGCACACCTACATGCCACATGCTAAACCTCTCCCTGCAGTGTTCCCTCCTTTCAGGACATGAATAAGTGTACCAAGACAGGAACCTGCCACGGATGGCAGGTAGGTAAGGATAGGCATTCTGTGTTTCAACCAGGGGCTTCCACAGGCCAACACCCCTGCAGTGCAAGTGCCATCAGGGGGGACTGGTGTGTTGGGTCCTGGTACCTTAGAACCAGGCCTGGCAGGCACATAGCTGCCAAATAAGTGTGTGTGCGTATGTGTGTGTGTGTGAGAGAGAGAGAGAGAGAGAGAGAGACAGACAGACAGACAGACAGAGACAGGAAGACACTATCTCCTAAACTCCCTATGATCTCTCAGGTCCCTGGTTCATATATTCTTTAAACAGGAACTTGAATATATAGTGGTTCATGCTTACAATTCTAGTTATCCAGATGTGTGGGTTATAGAGCAAAGGCAGCCTGGAAACTTTTATCTTCAATTAACTAGAAAAAAGATGGAAGTAGAGGTATGGCTCAAGTAGTAGAGTGCCAGCCTTGAGCAAAAAAGCCAAGGGAGAGTAAGAGGTCCTGAGTTCAACCCTAGTATTGGCACAAATAAAATAAAAATCAAATAAAGGTGGCTTGCTAGTGTGAACTCACAAGTCCTACCGAGAAACCTAGGACCCCTCCACAGGTGGTACCCAGAGCCACACTGCTAGTGCCATATGATAGCCTGCAAGATTTCCTCTGTAAGTATGCTGAGGACAAAGAAACTCGATGGAAAGAGCCACTGGCACATGTCACTGCATGGATTGAAGATTCCCCAATGGGAGGAGCAGGGTGATTGCAGGAAATTTAGGGACTAACAAGGTCTACCTGGCCCCCATGGTTCAAAGGAGGGGAGGGGAGGGGCTAGGGATTCAGGCATGCTCCCTTAGACTCAGTGGAATGACACATTCCCCCCCCCCCCCCACTAAAGCTGAGCCAAAGTGCCTAAAACATTTTAAAATGATTCTAGCTCTGGTTGAAACTGGTTTGAGAAGAACTGGGGCACAGCTCTGTGGTACAGCATATGCTCAGCAGGTGTGAGACTCTGGATTTAATCCTCAGCACAAAAGTAAACTTGCTTGGAATATATATATATATATATATATATATATATATATATATTCGAAGTAGTGACAAATACAGGAGAGAGTGCTGAGCTGGTTAGATTTCCTTGGATTTTAATGGTTTGGGAATCAAGGGAAAGGAGTAGCTTGCCTGTTCCTGAATGAGTATGTGGAGAAAGGTCTCTCCCACATCCCAGGCCTGAAATCCTTTCTCTGCCAACCCCAGGGTCTGGTGGAGAGAGGAGGGCGGGGCTGTGATGAATTATTCAACAACTAGTGATGATGATGATGATGATGGTGATGATAATGACAACAATGAGTACAATGATGATCATCATGAGCTCTCTCACCTACCCATGAGTACCCCTCCTTTCTCCTCTGCTCCTCCAGCCTTGGCCTTCCTGTTCTCAGAGTTGCTCAACCTTCTCAGTTGCTGCTCAATGCCAAGTGCCCTGGTGAACAAAGCTGCCTCCAGCTTGCTGCTGCTCTCTCACCCAAGCAGTTTCTGCCCTAATGAGTTTCCAGCTTTCCCTCCCATATTCTTCTCCAACTGCCACTCATTTGCTCTCGTCCAACACACACAGAGAGCTCCTCTCTGTCAGGTGCACCCCAGGCCTGGCAGGCCTGGCATCTCGCCATGTCTAAGAAGTACCAGCCAGCTATAGTTGGGCTCCTTTGAGTCCCACCAGTGGTACAGAGCTGGCTGGTGACCATAGAAAACAGGACGCAAGGCTAGTGGTGACCTGAGCCCCAGACCATGGTGTGGATCTTGACTTCTCTCTCTTCAACTTCATAAGTGATCTAGTAACAAATCATGGGCTACTATATAATCTACTGAAATATGACCATCTCTGCTTCTGCCTGTCTGGCAATCAACTGAGTTTCCATTGAAGAAGCAAGCTCTCCTCACTCCTTGGCACACTGCAGCATCCCATCTCCAGTATCTGGCACATCTCAACTGTCTGGCACAATCTACCTGGGAATTCTGGCCTCAGTCCAGACCCTCACTTGCTCCCCATGAACCACACTGACCTTTGGAGTTAAATGGCCTACTGGTACCTCAGGCTCTTTGCATTGGCAGATCACTCTGCTTAGATGGCTCTTCCTCTAGACTTCTGCATGGCTCACACTTTCTAATTCTGTGCTTTAATATCATCTTCTTCCTCTCCCCAAATTATACCCTACTCAGTACTTCCTCCTCAGTTTCCTACTGTGCTTCCTTGCTTCCTTGGTCCATTTCTTTTTTCCATGTGTGTGTGTGTGTGTGTGTGTGTGTGTGTGTGTGTGTGTGTGTGTGTTGTGTGTAGTGTGTATGTTCAGGAGCTTGAACCCAGGACTTAAATGCTGTTCCTGAGCTTTCTCACTCAAGGCTGGTACTCTACCATCTGAACCACAGCTCTACTTCTGACTAAGTGGAGATAAGAGTCTCACAGACTTTTCTTTTTTAGGCTGGCTTGGCTTCAAACCTTGATCCTCAGACCTCAGTTTTCTGAGTAACTAGGATTATAGACATGAGCCACCAGTGCTCAGCTTGCTCCTCAGTCCATTTGTGTAACAGTTCTGCCATTGCCTGTGTCTCCCCATTGTACTGTGGCTTCCACCAGAACAGAGATGGCTGTGCTTCATCTGCTTGAGGTCTACAACCTCACAACTGGCTATGTGTTGTCTGGAGACTTAGTCTTCTTGTGGATGATGGGGTGGCAGACACTGAGACAAAGTCTTGACTTCTCCCTAGAGACCCTGGCTTCAAAGAGAACAAGGACAGCCCGCTGTAGCCTTGTGGGTACCAGTCAGCGCGGACTCTTCATCCTGCTTTGCCCTGGCCGCATGTTCCCATCCCATACTTTTCCCCATCAGAACTTACCATCCACAGGATTGAGGTAGTCGTGGAGATGGGGCGCCCCAGTGGCACCCCCACTCTGCATTAAGAGGTCCCCGTAAGGTGCAGGGTGGCCCCCCATGAGGGTCATCTGGTGGTAATAGTCGGAGGGGTTGGTGCCTGGGGCAGAGAGGCCAAACAGCCCCCTCTCCTTAAGGTGCTCGTGGGCCACTGTGGGCAAAAGAGAAAGAAGCTGTCAGAATTTCCTGCCCAAAGAAGCGAAGAGAAATCACACCCAGACTGAGGTCTCTTCTGGGACCCTTCTGCCCACTCCTTGCTGCCCCAGTGTCACCACTGAGCTAGGCCTGAGTTCAACCATTGTGGAGACACATGACTGGTGATGATGGAGACCAGATTCATCCCAGCATTCCTCCACTTCCTGCCCGACCCCCACTCCCCCCTCCTCCAAGCCTCCCAGAAGCCCAGAGCCCCAGGGCAACAGGATCTGGACTCAATAGCCTTTAAAAGGAAAAGATGTGAGAGGAGGTACCATAGCAACAGCTTTGGGACGGGTCAGTCTCTACCTGGATGCCCAGGGCAAGGTGGCCTGTGGGGAGTTTCTGGGGCTGTTCAGAGAAAGCTCTTTGTCTCTCAAACCTACCACCCCCCACCCCCCACCCCGCCAGCCCTTGCAGCAAAGAGCCTTGAGACCATGTGCTCACCCTGTAGTCAGTCCTGCCTGCATAGGGCTGAGGAAGGAGACAGCAAGAGTATTTGAGGGCCTGTATTTGGTAGGTGGTGTGTCAGGGAAGTCCTGGGAGCTTGGATGTTATAGATATCTGATGAGAGTCCTAGGCTTTACTGAGTGTGTGAAACCAAAGGTGCTCTCTCTGTTTTCCATCTGTAAATGGAGGCACAAATGCTCTCCCCTGTGGAATTCCTATTGATCATGACTGTAGTGGCCAGGGTCATGATGAGCACTCAGCACTCACTGGGACCATAACAGGCACACTGAAGGTTTGGTCATTCTCTAATCTCATTGTTACCACCACATTGAGAGCCACCAGGCATCCTTATCATCTATACTGAGAAAATGAGGACACTCAGTCCATTGGTTTAGTACTTTGAATCAGGTCGCATTGGTATGGAAATGATCAAGTTGGGATGGAACCCCTATTTTGAATCTAAAGCCCTAGGTCCTAACCACTGTGATCTATAGCCTCTCTGTTAAAACAAGAATATTTTATTCTTGCACAATTTTCGAGGTCAAGGAATCAGTAGGGCTCGAGTTCCTTCAAAGACTCTAGTGGGAGAATCCATTCTTTGTCTCCTCTGGCTTCTAGATGCCTCTATCTTCCTTGGCTTATGGCTCCATCATTCCACCTATCTCCATTTTTTTGGGGGGGGGTCCGGTTGTGGGGCCTGAACTCTGGGCCTGGGCGTTGTCCCTCAGCTCGTCAGCTCAAGGCTAGGTGCTCTACCACTTGAGCCACAGCTCCACTTCTGGCTTTTTTCTTTTTTGCTTATGTGGTGCTGAGGAATTGAACCCAGGGCCTCAGGCATGCAAGGCAAGCGCTCTACCACCGAGCCACCTTCCCAGCCCACCTATCTCCATTTTTACGTCAGTGTCTCCCTTGTGTACATTTTGTAAGGATACATGTCATTGGATGGAGGATCCATGTAGGTAATCAAGATAATCTTGGCTCAAGATTCCTAACTTCATGACACCTGCCAATTTCCCTTTCCTGAATGAGGCAGCACAGGTTCAGGGATGCCAGTGTGCATAAAGGCACCTTTATGCTCACTATACCACATGTGGGCTTCTGGGAATAGGTGGAAGCTGACCTGCACTGTCACATAGGCTCATCACTGGCTGGGTCACTAGGAGTGACAGAGAAGCCAGGACCTACTTTCTACAAGATGGCTCTCAGTGTGGAGGTAGCACATCTTAGAGGCCTCAGCTCAGTCAAGGCCACTCTAGGGACTCACAGGAAGCTTAGGACTGTGTCTTGAACTTGAGGAACAACTTCACAATGGCGCCATAGTCTGGTTGGCTATGTTTAGGTACAGTGGTTGCAATAGTTTCTGGTTTGTCTTGAATGAATAACTGGCAGAACATAAATTACTTTCTCCTAGAAGGTTTGAGGGTATGGTTTTTGCAACATTGGAGGCAGAAAGCTCCCTTTTCACTGTAAAAATCCAGCTTGTGTCTTCTCAGACCTAGTCCTCAGCTTCAGCTCAGTGTCACATCCTGGAAGTAGGAGGGGACACCTTCCTCTGCAGGGGAATGAGGGTAACAATGAGGGGCCATGTTTCTGGGGCTGTGCTTCAGAGTGTCTGTATACCAACCTCAAATATGTACAAGCTGGACATGGTAGCTCATGCCTGTAAAGGTGACTACCTACTTGAGGGACTGAGATTAGGAGGATCATGGTTTGTCGCCAGTCTGAGGGAGAAAGTTCTCAAGAACTCGTGTCAACCAATAGCTGGGCATGGTGGCGAATACCTGTGATCCCAGCTATAGTGGGAAGCATAAAACACCAGAGGATCATGTTCCAGGCTGGCCAGGGTAGAAAACAAGATCTATCTCCAAAACAGCCAGAACAATAAGGGCTGGGGTTGTGGCTCAGGTGGCTGAGTGCCCGACTAGCAAGCATGAAGTCCCCAAGTTCAAATTTCAATACTGAAAAAAACAGAAAAAAAAAGTGTGCCATACAAATGTCCTCTGGCTTATAAGTGACCCTAGTCTAAGAGGTAAAGACTTAGCTGGACATGTTTTGAGAAGACATAGCTGAGTTATTTTCAAGGAGAGGCAAATAACATTGGCAAGGCAGTAAGAGTTGGAAGCTAGCACCCACAGCATGCTGGGGTAGGGTGTACTTCCCAGGAAGACCCAAAGTGTGTTTGTGCAAACATGTGTGTTTGCACACATGCACCAGAGGGGTAAGGAATGGGAGTAGGCTACAGGTATAAAATTTTTTATTTATGTCGTATGACTGTGCCTTTTTTTCTAGCTCAAATTAACCAGAGTAGAAGAAACGACATGAATCTCTAATCTGGCCCAATCAATTCTCTCTCAAGCATCTGAGCATAGTAATGTAAAAACCACAGTTTATCTCTGGGATGTTGGAAGTACCTGCACTGACCTGGGCTGCCATCTGTATTGACCTGCCAAACATATATAAAAGAGATGCAGGTAGCAGCCAGCCCCAAGTGCTCTGGAATTCCACAAGATATCCTGCCCTAACACCCCTTTCGCTCAATACCAGCTTCTTCAGAGGTTGGTTTATTAGAACCAATCACATGTCAGACATACTGGTGTGATTTGGGTAAAAAGTATCCTGCAAAAGGCTGGTTGCTGCAGGCTTGGTCCCCAGTGTAATGTTAAGGGGTGGGTTTTTGGGATTGGATCACAAGGACTCTGACTTCTTCACTGAATGAATCCATTAATGGTATTTGTGGGAGGTGGTAGAAACCAGAAAGTGGAGCTTAATTGGAGGAAACAGGTCACCAGGAGGTATGCCTTTGAAGGATATGCCATGTCCACAGCCCCTTCCCTTTCTCTGCTTCCTGCCACCATGAGGGGAGCAGCTCTGCTCTGCCATGTATTCCGCACTATGACGCTCTACTTTATTACAAGCCTCAGAGCAATGGCGCCAGCTGACCCTGGATGGAAACCTCTGAAATGCCAAGACAAAATAAATCCTTCCTCTTTCACATTGATTTTCTCAGGTCTTTGTCAGATTGACAAAAAACTGACACAAGGAACAGACCTTTCCTTTGTCGTTTTGGTGATTCATATAAGACTTGTACATTGAAGGGCTCCCTAAAGATCACAAAAACAAATCTCATGGCTCTCCCCGCTCATTTACTTACACAGAGATAGTGGGAAGGAAAGACAACCAAATCACTTTCCCAGGAAACAAGATTCAGCGTAACTGAGGGTAGTTATTAGGACCAATCCACTGGTCATCTATTGTGCCCCAGGTGCTCCTCCTGCCCCACTCCCCTGACTTACCATCTGCAGGGCTGAGGCCCCTGGCTGCAGAGATCATGGAGAGCGTGGGGCTGCTGTGCATGGACCGGAGGTAGTGCTCCATGTGGGGGTTCACATATGGGTGGGGGGCACTGAAGGGGGACTCCCCAGGGCCAGCAGGGTGCGGGGAAAGCCGGATCAAGGAGATATCAGAGATGATGGGGCTGCCGCTCAGGGTGGGAGGCCTAGAGAGATAAAACACAATATTCTCAGAACAAGGGTAGATGTGGAAGCTAATGCCTGTCATCGCAACTACTTGGGAGGTGGAGGTCAGAAGGATCATGGGTCAAGGTCAGCCTAAGAAAAGTCCAAGAGACCCCATCTCAGCCAATAAAAAGCTGGGCATGTGAAATATACCTATCATCCCACCTACAAGAGAAAAATAAATAACATGATTTTAGTCCAGACTAGTCTTGGGGGAAAAATGAGATTTGAAAAAATAAAAGCAGTGAGGCATATAGGTGGCTCATGCCTGTAATCCTAGCTAGTCAGGAAGCTGAGATCTGAGGATCAAGGTTTTAAGCCAGCCCAGGCAGGAAGACCCATAAAACTCTTTTTTTTTTTTGGGGGGGGGGTGTCTGGTAGTGAGGCCTGAACTCTGTGCCTGGGCGCTATCCCTCAGCTCTTCAGCTCAAGGCTAGCACTCTACCACTTGAGCCACAGCGCCACTTCTGGCTTTTTTCGTTTTGCTTATGTGGTGCTGAGGAATTGAACCCAGGGGCTCAGGCATGCAAGGCAAGCACTCTACCACTGAGCCACCTTCCCAGCCCAGACCCATAAAACTCTTGTGTACAATTACACACCAAAAATCCAGAAGTGAAGGTGTGACTCAAGTGGTAGAGTGCTAGTCTTGAACAAAAAAGCTCAGAGATGGCATCCAGGTCCTGAGTTCAAGCCCCAGGATGGATGCCTGCATGTGTGTGTGTGCACACACATACATGCACGCATGTGTGCGCACATACACACACACACACAAACACACACAGCAGAAAGGACTTGAGGTGGATTCAAGTGGTAGAGTGTCTGCCTATTAAGCCCTGAGCTTAAACTCCAATACTGCCACGAAAACCAAACAAATAAACAAATAAGAAAAGAGATTCACAGGAAACAGGAATCCTGCTGGAAACCCAAGCACCACATGAGCAGACACATCTGCATTTTCATTTTATACACTGGCATTCTGTGATCACTTCCAAATTATAGTCAAATCCTTTCAGCACTAGCCAGTGAATAGAGGCTAAACACTGTGTACTGCTACAGCTTCCCATTACCTAAAATTCCTGTGAATCTGAACTCTGCATGCTTGCCTAGAATCCTGGCTCAGCTGACCATGTGTGTCCAACCCACAGCTTTGCTTCCCCATTGGCTACATAGGCTAGACACATTCATGCTTGAAATGTATGGAACACAGAACATGAAATACTAATGCCAAGGGAAAGATGCAAAGAACTCTTACTCCTAACAGAATATGAGAAAACGGAGGGGATCAAGAGATGCCTGCAAAGGGAGAGACATCTTGCAAGGAAGGAGGTTTTGCCTCCAGTTGAATGGTCTCCGGTGGGGCACACTGGGCTGCAGAATGAGCAGTGAAGGAAAAGATCAATATTCAAGTTGATATTGGAAATTGATGAGCTGTAACTAATATTCTGAACATCATTCTAGGTCTCCTTGCACGTTAGCTTCTCAAGCTAACAGAGCCTGAGGCATCATGCCCACCAACAGTCAGGTCTGTTTGCAGCTTGGTTCCTATGGCCTGGGCTGGCTGTGGTCAATCTCTAGATCCCATAGTCTGCCATTCTGGCATGATGAAGGAGCCTTTCCCCTCAGGCCAACTTACCTGAGGATTCAAGCAGCTACCGTGTATCTCAAGATCATCTACTGTAAAACTTGTCCTAAAACACAAGCCAATCTTTTAGGGCAAACAACTTCTGACTCAAAACAAATTCACTGTGAACCATAGTAAACCAAGATCTCATCTTCAATTGTCCAGAAAACACAGACCCTCCATGATTTGACATAGCATGAAGAAAAATAAGTGTGAGACTCAGGCAATTGGGGATTTGGATCCCAAATGAATCAAGTGATTTAACCTCTCCAAGCTTTGACTTTCCTCAGCTGTAAAATGGAGGCAACAATAAATGTCCATTTCATATGGTAGATTCAAGGAAGAACTCAAACAGAATTCCTTAGAAAGGTAAATATTAGTTCAACAAAATAAACCCTGGGAATTAGGTAAAAGGGGTGGAGTGGTATCAAGGGGAGGGGATAGACATGAAGGAAAGAAGTGGGGGGAATTATTTGAGTCAGAAATGTAATGCATAAAAAATATGCTTTAAAAATTCAATGCAGGGGCTGGGAAGGTGGCTCAGTGGTAGAGTGCTTGCCTTGCATGCATGAGGTCCTGGGGTTCGAGTCCTTAGCATCACATAAGCAGAAAAGGCCAGAAGTGGTGCTGTGGCTCAGGTGGTAGAGCACTAACCTTGAGCTGAAGAGCTGAGGGGCAGCACCCAGGCCCAGAGTTTAGACCCCATGACTGACCAAAAAAAAAAAAAATTCAATGCATATCTTAGAACATAAGTGAGGGAAGGGTTGAATTGGGAGTGATGAGAGAATACTGAAAGGGATGACATTGATCAAGATGCACTGTATTCATAAACTGCTTTTTTGAATAGCAACTCCTTAAATAGCAACTCCTTAAAGATAATATATATGTGTACATAATAAACAAATCCCTAAGTATGGAAGTCCTAAGATTGTGTCTGAGCCAGAGCAGGTGGTCCTTAAGTGAGAGTTGTGATTCACATAGCCATCATGCCCTGAGGACCATTGATTTTCATGTAGGGGCAATATGTGTGGAAGGCACTGTTAGAGATGGTCATTTTATGAATGGGGACACTTTATAGATGGATGGAGTGATTGGACTTGTGGTTGAGCAAGTAGCGATGAATAGGGATTATGTTCAACGCATGAAAAAATAACCTCAAAGCACAGCAAAAGCCATTACCCAAACAGGTGACAGCTAGAGGATTTTACATCTGGATGTGATCAATGTTGTACATGCAGGTATTGGTAAGGTCTGGGAGTGGTACTTAGTGGTATCACTCCTTGTTCTGCAGATGTGTGTGCCCTAGGCATGTAGAAGCCAATCTCTGGCTATCTGTAGGCACCTGTGCTTTTTTCCCACTCTTAACTCTTGCTCTCTTTTCCTCCCTGTACCTCCCCCAGTCCCTTGGGATAGAGTTGTAGGTGCCACCTGCCATCCCCAGCCCAGCTGCTCCTGACCCAGTCACTATCTTCAGTGACTACAGGCTACTGTGTCCTAAATCTTGGCTGGCATCCTACAGGCTCTGGGAATCAGCCTTGCTTGGAATGACCAGAGAAAGATGGAGAGGACAAGAGGCTCCTCACTGTCCTCCTGGATAATAGACAGCACCTGTACTGCACAGTCCCCAGAGTGTGCATCCTTCAGCCCCAGATCTGTCTCCAGATCCACCTGGGGTGATGTTTGCATGGGAGCATCTCTTCACAAAGCACCTGAACATAGCAGAAATGTGAATGTCCATCGTGCCATCATCACAGGCCAGAGGTGCAAATGCATCTCATCATGAGGACTTGGATCTACAAAGGGATTGTGTCCCCATGTGGAACAGCTGGAGAAAAAGGGGCCTGCTGGAGCTATCTTGTGCCTTGGACCACAATCCCTGGTTTACTGGCAGGAAGAACAGGATGTTTGGAGGGGCCACTGCCTTAGCCCCAAAATGATTCACTAGCAGATGAGGAAGAAATCAGTCAGGCTCTGACAACAGGTTTAATTAAGGTGGTGGGGAAAAAGTACCAGGGAAGGTTGCCCATGCTAGGCCTGGAAGGGGCGGGGCCTGGGCTGCAGGGCTGTCCAGCACAGGCAGACCCTAAGGCTCTGAGCATGTGCAGAGAAGGACTGGATTGACGAGGCCATTCTTGAGGACTCAGGGCCTGGATGCAATGAGGTAAGGCCCTGTACTTAAGACTTTTTGCTGTCTTAAACCCTGGTTCTCTCACTAACCCCAGTACTTCCCACTGAGGTGGGCAGCCTCACCTAGTGGGCACCCTCTCTGGTGCCTCATCAGGGTAGTACAAAGATACGAGTGTGGGGCACATGGTAGGTGGCTCCGTTCCCCTTCTCTCCTTGGCCCACCTCTTCCTGAAAGCAGAGAAAGGCAGAATACAGAGAATTTGCTGTCCTAGTCACACTATACCTGACATAAAAGGCGTATTGGCCAACACAGCCAGGGATGAGTGTTCAGACACCTCCCCCAGGAAACATTCCTATCTGTTCCTGCAGTGTAAGATAATTTAAATTAATCATGCCTGATCTGACATCTGGAAATAGGGCTGACTGCATATCAACATCAAGGAAACATATGAATCTTTTCTTTTTTTGAATCTAGGTAAAAACCACACAAAGGAGGTATGTCACGATCATTCTGTAGGTGACGCACACACCTTGGCCTCTCAACCAGGGTCACTAAGTTAGTAAGTAGTGGAGTCACAACTACCCAGGTAGCTATGGGCAAGTGGATGCTTTTGATGACTATGGTTCCTCATGAGCTGGGCTCAAGATAGGAAGAGGATCAGGGAAAAACAATGCCGAGACCAGGACAACTTCCAACTTACCCCATCCCAGTCTCATACACTACCCCATAATCTTTGATGAGGGCACTGGGTCTCTTCTGCCACACTGTGCTGTGAATGACTGATAAAGGACTGGCAAAAATGTTCCAAGAGATCATCATTTGTGTGTGTGTGTGTGTGTGTGTGTGTGTGTGTGTGTGTGTGCGCGTGCGCGCGCGTGTGCGCCCATGCTCATGCACGCATGTGCCAGTCCTAAGGCTTGAACTCAGGGCCTAAATGCTGTCCCTAAGCTTTCTTGCTCAAGGCTAGGGTGCTACCACTTAGCCACAGCTCTACTTCTGCCTTTTTGGATGCTTAATTGGAGATAAGAGTCTCACAAACTTTCCTGTCTGAAATCCTCAGATCTCAGCCTCCTGAGTAGCTAGGATTACAGGCCTGAGCCACCGGCACCCAGCATGATTCATCATTTTGACAAAGCAAACACAGCCAGTGGAATGGATCTCAAATGACCAAATCCCAAACCTTATGACAGTTTTTGTGGGACTACGGTGCTTTCTGGCAGCCCTGAAACTGC